ATCTTAAGTACCTTGGCCACAGTCCTGGCAGTGTACCATGCTGTACTGGACTTAGCCAATGCTTTTTTCAGTATACCCTGGCTGCTGAGTCACAGATCAGTTTGCCCTCTCATGGGAGGGGCCACTATGGACCTTTCAAGTCCCCAGGGCTCCCTGTATAGCCCTGCAACATCTAGAGGTCTGTCCCTGTTCTCCTTCCCCATACCAGCAGAATGCACCCAATGCACGGATGATGTCATGTTGACATGTGAAGACTTGTCCCTGCTGCAGGACACTGAAGGCTTTGACATGTGCTGTTGAAGAAATGGTACTGATGAAGCACATGCTTATCCAACCCCTAAGAATGTGAAAGTGGTGCAGGATTTTGTAGGGATTTGGGGCTTTTGGAGGACTTGCATTCCCTACTGGGCACAGTGCCTCCATCCTCACACCATCTAGAAAAGGACGGACATGTGGGTCTGGGGATCAGAACAAGAAGTCACCTTTGAGAAGGCAACAATACCAGTGAAGCAAACATAAGCTCAGGCCTCTTCCAGGCAGGGCTGCCATTTGAGTGGCACCCCTCTTTCCACTCTTCTGGTCTAACCCCTCTGCATTAATCAGAAGCTGATTCCCTTCGAGTCCCTGCTCTAAATTATTTTCAGCACATTGAAAATTCTTTTGCTTGGTCATATTGTAATTCAGTGTTTAACTTGAGGAACCACAAAACTGTTTTCACAGTGACTGTGCCATTGTACATTTCATCAGCAATGCGCAGGGTTCCAATTTCTTCACATCCTCACCAACATTTTTGTTTGTTTGTTTTCACAGTAGCCATCCTCATGGGTGTGTGTGTGTGTGGGGGGGTATTTCCTGTGTCTCTGGAAGGCAAGAGTCAAGTTTGTAGCAGAAATCACAGAAGAAGAGAGTACCTTAGGACTTTGGTCCCAATTCTGGAAGGAGCAGAAGCCCTCTATACCCGATATACTTACTTGCACTTTGTCAATAACCATTTCTGCTACAGCTCCTACCAGTGTACACAGTGCTCCTCCAGATAGAACCTCTCACAAAGGAGCAGCATGTCATGGTAAGAACTCCCCTTCCTATCCCAGGGAGGACTGAGAATATTTCCATGAAATCGCCCCTGCCATGGCTCAGGCCTCCACTTTGCCGAAGTGGCATGCCTATTTGCAGCAGAGGAGCACCCTGTCCAACAGCACTCATGCATTCCTATGTTGGGAACAAAACACCACTCTAAACAGAACCAATCCAGTTGTATTAGGTATACAAAATAGATATCACTGGCACTATAGAGTCAGTCTGTCACATTAAAGGGTAGAGACTAGTCTGGTACTGGCAGACTGGTTGAAGGGACAGGGGTATTTATTGGGTAGCTCCAAATGGGACCTAATGTTTGTGTGGCACAAATCTTTGGCCATAGCTTTCATCTAAGTTGTTGGGCTCCCTGGGCACAGGGAAGAATCTGCTCCATAATAACCAAAGTTGCCTACCTCTCTCTCCTCAAGGCTAGAGGGGCACATTTTGTTTTCCCCTGGCATGATGGATCATCTGCCAGCCTTTGTTCCTCCCACGGACCTGGAGGACCTTACAGCACACAAAGACCCCCTTAGTACAATCACCCAACAAGCCTTAAATGACAGCCGGTAAGCCTGTCCTTACTGAACACTGAAATGTCTCTCATGAGAAAAGCTGAATTCCAAAATAGAATGACCTTGGGTGTTATTACTGCCTCACAAGGAGGCACCTGTGCCATTATCTAAGTGGAATGTTGTGTGTTTATACCTGATGACTCAGCTAAAGTATCATCTTTATTAAAGCACATGTAGATACAAGTGAACACCCTGAGTGACTCAACTCCCAGCCTAGGGAATTTAATAAATCAGTAGTATGGCTCACGAGGCCTTTGGTAGAAAAAATTGTTCCTTACTTTGGAAATTGTTCTCTTAATCTGTGTTTTCTTACATATGCCTACACTGTTGCTATGGTTTCTGCCTCTAGTGCAGCCAGATAGCTGCCAATGAGGCACCTCCGTGCTGGTGAAGCCTCTTGTTCAGGGCACACTGTGAAAGGGGACTGTGGGGGAACATGTCACACTGTAAGAGCCAGTCATGAGGAGTAGAGTGTTGGAGGAGGTCATCAAGAGAATGCGATGCTTGAGCAGGACCCAAGCAATCAAAGGCTCCTCAACCCCCCGCCCCCCATCCTTGGAATGTGTGTTCTGCTCGCCTTCCCTACATCAGAAGCTGTCTCAAGGACACAGTCTTGAGACAAAAAGGTGTAGCTGAGACCATCTGGATGATATACATGACTGAACCTGTTAAGGCTTCTATATAAAATTAAGGTTCTGGTGGGCAGGTGCAGAGGTCTACTCATATCGTGGCTGCCCAAGACAAGCCTTGTAAGTACCCTTGCTTGTTAAAACTGCCACTTGCCAATCTGGAGTGGTCTGCCTCTTTTTTCCATCTCTCCTTGACCTCCATGTACGGAGGCCAGTTTCAGATTTTACCCCAGGGAATTCCCAAGGTTTTGAATCAACATACGCATACTGCTGGTGGTCTTGATTTGAGCTTCTGTAGATGAGATGGAGTCTTTCTCACATGTCTACTGGCTCTGTGATTCCATTGTCCATGAAATTACTGTCCATGTTTTGTTAATTTTTTTTCTTGGGTTATAGGTCATTTTATATCTTCACATGTGAAGTATTTGTTCAAATCTTTTACTTTTTTTTCCCTTTGGGGGTGCTTATCTTCTTGTTGATAGGTAGAAGTTCTTTATTTTTTATACTTTTATGAAGTGCTGTGTTATTGTAAATGTCTTCTATTTTGTAAAGTTTCTTTGAAACATCTTTTAATGAATAGAAATTTCTTATTTTAATGTTGCTGAAATCATCTATTCTTTCTTTTTTTTTTTATCCTCACCTGAGGACATTTTTTTGCATTTCTCTTCAGATACAGTGGGAGGGAGAGAGGGAGAAAGGGAGAGAGAAACATCGATGTGAGAGAGACACATCAACTGGCTGCCACCCACATGACCCCAACTGGGGCTGGGGACAAACTGCAACCAAGGTATGTGCTCTCAGCGGGAACTGAACCCAGGACTCTCTGGTTCACAGGCCGACCCTCCAACCGCTGAGCCAAGCCGGCCAGGGCTCATCTATTCTTTCTTTTATGGCTTCTGTCTTGAATATTCTATTTAGTATTGCTTTTATTATTTTCTGGATACAAGGCTTGCAGACCATCATTTGCTAATTTATCCATATGTTTATTATGATTTTTTTTTTTTAATCCTCACCAGAGGACATTTTTCAACATTTTGTTGAGATAGAGTGGGAGGAAAAGAGAGAGAGAAACATCGATGTGAAAGGGACACATCGAGTGGCTGCCACCCGCACGACCCAACCAGGGCCGGGGACAAACTGCAACCGAGGTACGCGCCCTTAGCGGGAACCGAACCCGGGTCTCTCAGGACCACAGGCCGATGATCTAACCGCTGAACCAAACTGGCCAGGGCTGTTTATTATGATTTTTGTCAGAATAGTATTTAGAGTTATTTTATGTATTTATATATAAATTAATATGTTAAATTACACAGTTTTCTCACTCTAAATTACAGGTTCAATGATTTGCAAAAATACTTCTTAATCTCTTTACAAATTTCTAAATTAAAAAAACACCGTTAGGCCCTGGTTAGAGCATCGGCCCACAGACCGAAGATCATGGGTTTGATTCCTGGTCAAGCGCATGTACCTGGGTTGTAAGTTCGATCCCCGGCCTCAGTCAGGGTTGTGCGGGAGGCAGCCAATCGATGTTTCTCTCTCTCTGTCTCCCTTTCTCCCTTCCACTCTATCTAGAAATCAGTAGAGAAGTATACTCCAGTGAGGATTAACAAACAAACAAACAAAAAACACTCTGTGCATCTGAAACATGAGTACTTACACTTGTACCAGCCATACCTCTCTTACCATTACAGTTATAACCTGGTGTCCAAATAGGAAAAACTCCGTGAGCATCAGCCTTACAGAGCTTTGGAAGAAGTCATAATTTTGAGTGTGCTACAAATTACTTTGGCTAAAATCGATGTATTAACCTTTATACTCTAGAAGGGTCAGATCTGTGCACAAATCCCTTTGTGAAGCCAAAAGCTGCTCTGGTATAAATGTACCACCAGGATCCATTTCAAAACATTGCTTCCTCTCGCCAAGGTCAGCGGCTATCACCGACGTAACCAGAGAATGCGGTGTCCTCACTCTCAAAAAGACCGCCTGTTTTGTAACATTAAATTTCAGCCTTTTCTGTCTCTTTTTTTCTTTTAATGATGGAAATACATTTTGTTTATCATTATAAGGAAAGATTACTACCTTTCTATGATAAGTTTTGGTAGAAAAAAAATGTTTTAAAAATTTGCTTAGAAAATAACAATTTCCTCTTATAGCAAGTTATGTTTTCAGAGAAGTTGAGAAGATTAGTGCAATGTCTCCAGGTTTCCCTGCATTAGAGATTAATTGCTCTGTAGCTTTGCTGCTTAAACCCGAACTCCGGGTATAGGAGTCTCTTCTTTATTTACTCATTTAATTTACCTCGTATACTTAGCGGTATTTCTCACCTTACTAAGAGTGTACTCACTTACACTGAACTCAGTACATGTAATTAGGATAAAACCCTCGAATGAAAGGCATTTTAAAATGAGGCAGGCAAACACGTACAGAGTGGGATGAAGCCAGATTTGCTTTGAAGAGAACTTACATGATCGGTTTAGTTTTATTTCTAACATAAGTTCTAAATACAGCCCTTTTGACCTGTGTACTTCATCCCTAAATGGCAAAGTAAACATTCATGAAAATTTAATGGCGAGGAAATTAGTACCTTCTTATGTTTCACGCTGTGAAATGGCACCAGGGCACACGTTCCGCGACAGGCAGAAGTGTGTGGATGTGCTGGACCAACCCCGAAACCTTTGTCCCTTCACCTGTCATCCTCCTCCAGGTCAGCCAGCACTTCAGACGTTCTGACAGGACCCCCCCAGGATGCCGCCCAAGAAAGGTATTTCAAATAAAGACCTGATTGTAGAATATTCTACCTTTCTTAGAGATTGGACACTGAAAATATTTTTCATCATTTTTGTTCCCTCTTTGGGGTTTTTCTCTTTTGATATGTGTGTGTGTGTGTGTGTGTGTGTGTGTGTGTGTGTGTTTAGAGTTTCTTTGTTTCTTAAGAATTTGGGAAGGGTTCGGTATTTCTTCAATTTCTTCTCGTTAGTGGACGTATGATTTCATCAACTAGTAATGCCCAGACGTACCTTTTTTTTTTCATTTAGGAAGACAATGGAGGAAGCAAAATACACTGAGATTCCAGTGCAGCAACTCAAATTCGGGGGTCAGTCCATAACAGTGACCTACTGTGAGACTGGTGTGTGGGACAGCCTGGTGCAGGAGACCTGTTCTGCTGCAGTTTGTGAATTAAATACAGTCTGAATTAAGTTGAAAAGGAGAGGAAGCAGGATTAAGGCAGAGCAAGTGAAGAAAAGAGATCTTTTGGGGGTATTTATGTGAGGGGGTGCGCAACACATTTTGCTAGCTGTGGCTTGTCGTGGGGCGCATTTCAGTCCCACAGACAATGTGTGACAAGGTGTATTCTGTGATACTTGCTAGCTTACATTTGGATCTACACTCAGCCTCATTTCAGTCCCCAAAAGACAAACTGGTGGATTTTTTTTATGTTAATGATTTTACAGAGAGAAAGGGAGAGACAGAGAGAAATATTGGTCAGCCGCCCCACACACAGGGATCAAACCTACAATCTGGGTATGTGACCTGACCTTTTGGTGTATAGGACACTGCTCCAACCATTTGAGCCAGACTGGTCAGGGCAAACTGGTAAAATTTTTAACTATGAAAACCCTGAAAAAACATGTTTGCTTTTCAGCATCGAACTTTTCTAATCCAGACGGCCCTGCAGCCAGCATGCCTTTATCTGCCTTATTTAATCTAGAGTAGAAAGTGGAGACACAGGCACACCTGGAGATAACCTACTGCAGTCACCCAGCTTCAGTCCTGTGTCTTGAGAATCTGAGACGTATCCTACTGAATATGCTTAATAATTGCATTGACTTCAAACATCTAGAGAGTCTTAGGAATATCGTTATTGAAGTAGGTGACAAAACAGACAATCCAAAACAACCACTTCTTTTGAGGCTCTACACATTTTCCAAAGATGTTACAAGAATAGCTCAGAGTTGTATATTAGCTTTTTTAACAGGTGGAATTGGTTTTACACTAATAAGAGCAAGGTTCAAATCTTATATAGATATTAAACTTCAGGGCCTTTAGGATTTCCCAACTTGGGGTCCTCCAGCTCCTCAGGCTATTTTGGTAGGGATGGTGTTGGCAGAGTCTTTTTAGATCTTCAACAATTCTTACAAAAACTTGCAGTTAGGCTGCTCCGCCTACCTTCATGCCAACCATCTTATTAAACAAGTAGATGTGATAGATTATTCTTGCTGTTTATTAATGTGGGCTATCATTTTTTTTATCTTATTGTTTTAACAACAGATGTTTTAAAGTTTAATTGCCTTATTTTGATTATGAATGGAATATATGTTGTTGTGGAAATGTATGAATATTAGAAAAATATGTTAAACGATGACATCAACAAAATTCTCCCACCACAATAAAGATCACCATTGACACTCAGGTATCTTCTTTCAGACTTTTTCTATGAAAGCTCTGTTTGATTTATATTTAATAAAATGGATGCATATTAATACATAATAAATGTCATTTTTTAAAAGACAATGCTTAGATTATAAGAAAGAAAAATAAGGATAGCATTGCCTGTTTTAGTTACATAATATCATAGTATCATAACAATAGCTTCCATTATGGGTGCATATTACATGCCAGGCTCTGTACAATGTACAGGGTGAGTTACTGTGAGAGCTAGATGTGAAGCAATGACAAGTGACATCTTGCCATGGTGTGCACCACTTTCAATAAGCTATGAAGGGACACAGCAGGTCAACTGGCAGGTGTTTTGCTCAGCATGTTGAACTTCTCCAGCCAAGACACAAGGAAACACTATTTAGGGGTAGCCCATGAAGAGATAGAAGGAAGGTAAATCTGTCTACCTGGATCCCTCCTGTCTCCTGTTTTCTCCCCATGGAGGCCATGGTGTGCACCACTTTCAATAAGCTATGAAGGGACACAGCAGGTCAACTGGCAGGTGTTTTGCTCAGCATGTTGAACTTCTCCAGCCAAGACACAAGGAAACACTATTTAGGGGTAGCCCATGAAGAGATAGAAGGAAGGTAAATCTGTCTACCTGGATCCCTCCTGTCTCCTGTTTTCTCCCCATGGAGAGTTGACACAACCCAGTTCTGAGTTGTGTTATTCAGCCCCTTCCACAGAGCATCTTTGTAAGATGCCAGATACCACACTCTATGGTGTGGTGTTCTATTCAAGTCTGAAGCTGGCAGAGACCCTAACTCTCTGGGCTTACAGGTGGTCTACTGTGAGCTGCACTGGGCACTTCAAGAAAAGTGATTAATTGGGGCTGGGATGCTTTGGGAGCCAAAGGAAGGAAGAAAGCATTTGAGAGAACTTGATGAGTGGGGCACATGAGGTTTGTGTCTGATACAGAAAGGAAGAAGTCCAACAACATATGGAATATAGAAATTCTAGTACCCGGTGAGATTGAATGCAGGAAGATGAGGGAAAGGAAATAGTCACGAATGAGTCTCAAGTTTCAAGCTTGGTCGACTGAGTAGAAGGAAATTTCAATAAATGAAACAAAGGCAGCAGGGGGCAAAAGTTTGTTTGATTGGAGTATGGCTTGATTATCTGCAAGGTATTTCCTGGAGTTCAGGAGACAGGTGGGAATTGGTGAGAGGGTTTGGGCATCATCTCTGAGTTGTTATTACTAGAATCACGTGGCTTCCCAGAAAGAGTTCACAGAATGACAAGGGAAGATAGCCAACAATGGTTCCTGGACAATTCAGGATTCAGTGGTGGCTGGAGGCAGACAAGCACATGGGAAAAACGGAAAAATGGTTTAGAGGGATAAGAGGAGAAAGCCATTGTAAACCCTGAAATGACAAAATAAAGATGGTAATCACCGCCATGTTGCTGCACTGTTGTTTGGCCATATGAATTTTTTTTTTTTCAACAATGCAAAGATAAACCTGAGCCCTGCTTGAACAAATTCTTTAAAATTTAAATTGGTGGTGCACAAGGGAATGATGTTTTACTACATTTAAAGATGAATAGATAGCATTTCCTACAAAAGATGAATTATATACATGTGTATGCTAGGATTATAAATTCTCACAGAAATTGTACCACATTCATTTATTGATTTGGTTACTTATTATTTCATTCAACACAGAATTCATTTGATTTTTTTTTTTTTTTTTAATGTGATCTGGAAAGAACATCATATGACAGTATCCTTCTTAAAGAGTTCATAGATTAATGTGTTCAGGGTGATACTGAGCAATTATCTGAACAAAACCAGAATCAAAACATCACTTTACAAACTAGAGTGGGCCTTCAAAATTAAGAGCAATAATGCATTTGTTTCTAATGTGGCCTGTGTTTGCAGGATTTCTCTGACATGAATAGCACTTGGCGGGTTTGAAATGCACACTAGTGATAATGAAGGGATATTCTTCTGACTGATAAAATATTGACACTTATGTCCATTTCTTTCATTCCACTTTTAAAAAGTCTTAATGAGGTATAATTTATGCACAATAAATTTCACACATTTAAAATGTACAATCAGACAAGTTTAACAAATGTGTACATACTATAATAACCACTGCCATCAAAATGTCCATTGCCCCAAAATGTTCTTTTTTCCCCTTTGGCATGAATGCACACATTCCACCCCCATTCCCTATATACTCCACCCTGTACCCAAGCAATCTCTAATCTTTTTGTCTCTAGGTCAGTTTGCATTTTCTGAAATTTCATGTAAAGGGAAACATACAGTTAGTACCGTTTTGTGACTGACTTACACTAACATAATGCTTCCAAGATTTATCTACATGATTAGATACATCACTAGTTTGTTTCTTTTTTTGCTTCATAGTATTGTATGAGCATACCACAATTTGTCCATTTACCAGCTGATGAACATTATAGTTGTTTTCAATTTAGAATTAATTGGAATAAAGCTGCTATGAACATCTGAATACAAGTCTTTATGAGAATTTATAGATTGGAATTGCTGGATTGAATGGTGTTTGAGTAACTTCATAAGAATCTGCCTAATTACTTTCTTAAGTGGTTATATAATTTTATATTTCCACCAGCAGTATATAAGAGTTCTGGTGATCCGCCCTGGCCGGTTTGGCTCAGCGGTTGGAGCGTCAGCCTGCGGTCCGGAGAGACCCGGGTTCGGTTTCCGCTAAGGGCATGTACTTCGGTTGCGGTTTGTCCCCGGCCCTGGTTGGTCGTGCGGGTGGCAGCCACTCGATGTGTCCCTTCACGTCGATGTTTCTCTCTCTCTCTCTCCCTTCCTCTCTCTCCCTCCCACTCTATCTGTACAAAAAATGGAAAAATGTCCTCGGGTGAGGATAAAAAAAAAAAAAGAGTTCTGGTGATCCATATCTTCACCAAAAGTTGTTATAGCAAGTGAATCGTTTTAAATTTAGCCTTTTGAGGATGTATATAGTAGTATCTCATTGTGGTTTTTAAAAAATTATTATTAATTTATTTATTTTTGTTATAGATGTTTCTCCTTTTTCCCCTATTGACACCCTCCTCCTGATGATGCCCCTCCTCCCCCGCCTCACAGCATTGTTGTCTGTGTCCATTGGTTATGCATATAAGTTCTTTGGTTTATCTCTTTATTCCCCTTGCCTCCTTCCTCTGAGATTTGTCAGTCTGAATCCTATTTCTATGTCTCTGCATCTATTTTGTTCATCAGCTTATTTTGTTTATATTTCACAAGTAAGTGAGATCATGTGGTATTTGTCTTTCTCTGATTGGCTTGTTTCACTTTGCATAATACTCTCCAGGTCCCTTTATGTTGTTTCAAAGGATAAGAGATCTTTCTCTCTTACAGTTGTGTAGTGTTCCATTGTGTATATGTACCACAGCTTTTTTATCCATTCATCTACTGATGGACATTTGGGCTGTTTCCAGATCTTAGCTATTGTAAATAGTGCTGCTATGAACATAGAGGTACATATATTCTTTCTGATTGGTGTTTCAGGCCCTCATTGCGGTTTTAATTTGCATTTCCCTGATGACAAATGATGTTTAATGTTTCTATGCTATTTTCTTTCTTTTCTCCCTTCTATTTTTTGTTCTTTATTCTCTTACCTTCTTTTGCTTAAGTATTTTTAAATTCCTTTCTATCTCCACTATTGACATATTAGCTATATTTTCTTTTTGTCATTATTCCATTTTAGTAGGTTTACAATATACATCTTTAACTTATTGAACTCAACCTTCAAGTAATGATATAATACTTTACATATATTTTAAGAGTGTTCCAATAGTACAATTTAATTTCTCCCACCTATACTTTGTGTTTTTGTTTTTACATATGTTAATTCCATATGTATTATAAAGTCTGCAATCTGTCATTATTATTTTTGCTTTAAACATTCATGTATCTTTTTTTTTTTTTTTTGGTACATGCCCCTAGTGGGAACTGACCCCGGGATTCTCTGGTCCGCAGGCTGATGCTCCAATCGCTGAGCCAAACCAGCCAGGGCCATCCATGTATCTTTAAAAGAATTTTAAAATAGAGAAAAAAGCCTTTGGTATGTACCAATATATTACCATTTCCAGTGGTTTTTCTTCCATATTTCAGATCCAAATTTCTGTCTGGTATCATTTTCCTTCTGCCTGATAACTTTCTTTAATATTTATTGTAGCACAGGTCTACTGGCAATAAATTTGCTCAAGTTTTGTATGTCTGAGTCTTTACCTTAATTTTGAAAGACATTTTTTGATGAAATTAGAATTCTAATTTGATAAACCTTTTTCCTTTTAGTGTTTTAAAGGTTTCTCTTTTTCAAAGTTTCTGATTAATCTTTGTGTCACTTTGCTCTGGTTGCTTTTAAGATATTCTCAGTATTACTATTAATTTTAGCAGTTTGTCTATGCTGTGCCTTCACATAGTTTTATTCTTTTCTTTTCTTTCTGTTTAGAATTTGCTGAGCTTCCTGGATCTTGGGTTTATGGTTTCTATCAAATTTAAAACAATTTTGCCATTATTTTCTATTTTTTTTCTGACTCCCTCTATGGGACTTCAATTTCATATATTTTTGGTTGTTTAATATCATCCTATAAGTCACAGATGTGATTACATTTTTTTCAATTTTGATTTCCTTCTATGTTTTATTCTGGACTATATTTGTGTCTTCAAGTTTAGAGCTTTTTTCTTCATGGATGTCTAATTTATTGTTCATCCCATCTAGCATATTTCTCATCTTAAATACTGTATTTTTTATCTATAGAATTTAATTTATATCTTTAAAATATATTTTTTTCTTATGATGTTCTTAAACATATGGAGTATATTTATAATTTCTGTTATTGTCTGCTAATTCCATCACCTGTCATTTCTGGATTTGTTT